TGTGCCCCCTGCTCTGGGTGAGCCTGCTTGGGCAGGGGGGTGGGATGGGTGAGCTCTGGGGGGCCCTGCCAGCCCCCGCCAGTCTGGGATTCCATAACACGCATTTGGACAAGTCACCGGACAGATGGGAGAAACACAGGTTCTGCTTTCAGCTGCTCATCAACCAGCACCTGATGGCACTAATTTTGGTGATTACCTAGAAGATATTTATTAATTTATTTATTCTGCATACCGCAAAGTGCTCAATAAGAAGGAAGTGGGGATGGATGGAGTGAAGTACTTGGACTTCAGGCATGCGGTGGAGTTTTTCCATGTTAGGCACGCTAGGCTCAGAGAGGCCTTAGCAGGAGTCAAGGGAAGCACAAGGGAAAGGCTACTGCATGTATTTATGTATTTCCGAACGTTTTACAGACCCTTTGGGGCTTTTTGTTTGCTTTTTCTTAGCAGTTTATACACTCTGTCTGAGCAGGGCAATTTTTCACAAAACTGCTAACTTGAGTAACATTCAGTTTCCCTTCAAAAAAATACAAAAAAAAAAAAAATCACAGAATATGGCTGTCCAGTTATCTTATATCTCAAATCAGAGTACAGGCAGCCAAGAGCATCAGCTGTAGCTAAATGCCTGCTTTATCGGAAGCCTCATCAGAAGTCAGTGCACTAAAAGCCAAGATTAAGACAAGACAGCGAGATCGAGTGCACCCTCAGCAAGTTTGCAGATGACCCCAAGCTGAGCGGTGCTGTTGACATGCCAGCAGGACAGGATGGCATCCAAAGAGACCTGGACAGGCTGGAGAGGTGGGCCCATGCAAACCTCATGAGGTTCAACAAAGCCAAGTGCAAGGTCCTGCACCTGTGTGGGGGCAACCCCTGGTATCCATACAGGCTGGGGGATGAAGGGATGGAGAGCAGCCCTGCCCAGAGGGACTTGGGGGTGCTGGGGGATGAAAAGCTGGACATGTGCCGGCCATGGGCGCTGGCAGCCCAGAAGCCAACCCTACCCTGGGCTGCACCAGGAGAAGCGTGGCCAACATCAAGGGAGGGGATTCTGCCCCTCTGCTCTGCTCTGGGGAGACCTCCCCTGGAGCCCTGCATCCAGCTCGGGAGCCCTCAGCACCAGGAGGACATGG